ATAGTTGTTGTTATTATGACTCAGAAGATATTTTATCACTTTAAGTAGAACATTAACATGTGCCAAACGACCCAGTAAGAGACTCCAGGATTTAGGTATAGCCATTCCTAATTTATACAACTAGCCAAAGATAGAGCATTTAGCCAACATATTTCGCCCCCGACTACTCGGATACTCTTAACCTAATAGGAAGAATGACTTTCCTGGTAAAAACACTCCACATGGTTGAAAATGTGAGGCGTGTTCAACAACTTGAACTTTGAGCCTTCTAGTGCGGATCTGTAAACACTCTTATCGTAATAGAATGTGTATTACTAATTTCCAGTATTATAGAGAGAAAAACCTTTTTAATACAACTTAAAAATAGTTCAGGTTAAGTAATGTTAAAAATTCGAAACCAGTTAATTTGTCATACAGTTACCATTCTTATTTTCAACTTTCATTTTCTGCTATATATATGCATAGATAGAAAATGTAATTGTTAAATGTTTTGTGAATCCTGGTGTTATTTCACTCTATTTTTTTAACAATTATTTGTCACGACCAAATCACCTACTGATCGAATTCCCGAATTTTAATTACTTTGTTCTTTCTCCCTTCTGTAGGCTAACCACAAGTTAACCAAGAGAGCTGTTGTTTGAAATTAGGTCCAAATTTTCGAGTTGTAGAATGAGATTCATCGTGAAATATTTAATTTTGGTTTGATTTATGCCATAAATAGGTTTAGCGTTGGCTCTCGTCCTTTCAATTATGGCGTCCCATTGCATGGCGTTTGTCAGTGCGCAGTCCAAGTAGTGTGGTTCCGTCCCTAATTCGGAACCATCAACCACAATGAAGCAACCAGCCGGAAATAATCACTTTTATGTTTTACTTTATTATCATTACTTATTATTGTGTATCTTTATTTTAACACCAAGTACTAAGTGTAACTAAGATGACTTTAAATACTATTATTTCTTGCACTACTATACTCTTGAGGAGTTTAGCACAAGTTCTTAGTGCTTCAGTTATTCAACCAAAATCGCTCAATTTTGACCAAAGTTTTGCGCATGCCTACGCAAAAAGTCACGTAAAATATCGATCTGAAATTTTTACTACAGCTTCACCTAAGAGTAAAGGTAGACCATTTTTAGTTTTTTGACATTCGGATTAAAGACGGCTGATGTAGAGCAGCAACACTGTAGGGTGAAAGGACGTTCAGATGCATAAGTATTGGTTAGGCCAAGCAAACTACATTACCAGTTTATAGCTCAAGTTTTCAAGAGAATCATCCCACCACCACGCCCAAAGTTGAAAAAAAAACGCGGCCTGGCTAATTAATGAATGAATATTTGCTGTCAAATTCTTATCAATGCTATAAGTGTAGCTACCATTTTGGACGCCATTTTTTTTAAATGAGCCCTCGTCAGGTTGTTTTGGGTTATGGACTTAAAACACAGCTAGTAACGAGAGTAATCGACTGATGATCTGGGGTAAAGTGGCCATAGAAGTGTTTTGTAATTTGTCTGTTACTAATAGTTATGAATATTCATTAATAATTGTAATTATTGTTATAGAATTTTAACAGCTCTTCTCGTACAAGTTATTACATGTGTGAGGTGCACGCATGCCATACGTTTTCTATCTGTTTTAGCGATATAAAAACTTTAGAATATTTTTGGTTATCTGGCTTTTGTTCTGTAATGGTGGCAACAGATGGTCCAGAAAGTCTTAAAGATTACCTTGCCATAGTTGCTTCGTTTCTTTGCCCTCTATAGTAGATAATGTCTATTCTGCCCAAGAAAATATTACAGTATTATACAGCATCTGTATTTAAAGAAAGTCTTAAAGATTACCTTGCCATAGTTGCTTCGTTTCTTTTCCCTCTATAGTAGATAATGTCTATTCTGCCCAAGAAAATATTACAGTATTATACAGCATCTGGATTTAAAGGATTGGCTGACTATGATATTGATTGAACGTTACAGCTGACTTATGCTGTAAAGGAACAAAAATCATAAAGTGACGCTGTCAATTGGACCAAGAAAGCGAGTTTACCTGTTGAGAGAGAGGGAGAGAAAGCTATGGGACTAAGTACAGCCCAGTAGAAGTGGCTGCCTTTTCATACGTGCAAGTATATATGATGCATTTTCTTTTTGTCTGTTTTATAATAAAGATTCTTTTAATTTTTATCAACTTTGTCTAGTCTCAGTATTCTACACACACTAGGAAAACTGATGCTTGTCGGTAAATTATTAGTTTTTACCCAAAAATACCATACGCAGGGGCGTCGAGAGCCAACCTAGGCCCCGGGGTCAGTAATATCATCGGCCCCCTTTCATTCTATTTATTAACTTTTGCTGATTTTTCATAAAATAAATTTAGGTAACAAATTTTTCATAAATCCATGACAAAGTGTAGCCATTTTAGCTCTTTAAGTAAAATGAAGTTATAGTGAGCTTTGGAATAACCCACTGCCGGGCCCCTCAACAGACCCCGTGGCAGCTGCTCCTTGTCCCCATCCCCACCCTCTCGTCAGCTCTGACAACACGTACAATAATAACATTAGACAACAAAAATTTGCTACTGGAGAAAACTCAAGTAATTTGGGGCATATTGCTGGTGCCGATTTAAAACATGTGGTCAGAATTTGTCCATCGCCTCTAGATTTTGAGTTATTGTAATATTTCAATATTTTATCAGCACTATGTGAAATACCATGTGTAGCAGAGACTGCTGGTATGGGTATTAAATACTTTAATTAAAATAAGGTACAAGAACAACGTTTCGACCTTCTTAGGTCATCTTCAGGTTAATATGTGAAATACCAAGCAATCAACTCAGTACAATAGATTTATGCCGTGAAATTAAGCTTACAAGTTTTTGTTTTGACACCATGTCTACAAACTGTAATATTTAGGAGAGTCAAAATAGGGTTTGTTTGTTTGTAGCTATGCACAAAGCTACATAATGGGCTATCTGTGCTCTGCCCACCACGGGTATCGAAATCCGGTTTCTAGCGTTGTAAGTCCACAGACATACAGCTGTGCCACTGGGGGGGGGGGGCTTAAAATAGGAATTTGTAGTTTGAGGAAATATTGTCAACACTATGTCTCAAACCTTAAGCTTCATTGTTTACTTTTTTGTGATTGCATTTTCACTTTAAGCTTCTTATCTTGTTTCTGTATTTCTTGGAGATCACTATTCCCCCTTATTAAATTAACAATTTTTAATAATCTTGTTTTGCCTAGGGCTGGCTCTCGTTAGTAGCATGGTATGTATGTTGGACACTTGTCATTGACTAATTTTTTAATATTATTACAATAATAACAATGATAAACATTGTTAATAAGTTTAATTTTTATGCAATGCGGACTATTTTCCATACCATTTGTGGATACTGACAAATTTATTTGCTACATCTATTATATGTTTAATAGTTTTGCTATATTTGTTAAAGGAAGTGTAGTTTATTACGATTTGATATTCAGATCAACAAGATATATTGATATTATCAACATCAGTTTAAATTCTAAACTATAAATGTCAAACATAAATTCACAAATGCCGTTGAATCAAAGAGGTTGGAATCAAAGCTACACAGTGGGCTATCTGTGGCGTCCCGTCCATGGGTATCAAAACCCGGTTTTTACTGTTGAGCCATTGGGGGGGGGGGGGACATAGTTATGTCCTAAACTCTTTGGTTGGAATCCGTTGAACACTGAAGTGCATAATTTCAAACAGTTAAGTCGCTAGTCTTATTTCTAAGTGCATTTGGGTGGGAGGATCTTCAAATCGTGATTTATGTACTTTTATTATCCCATACTGTTATCCAAATATTGTGAATCATAAGGTGTATGTCGTTATTAAAAATTTATAGAACAAATCTTTTTCTTGGGTCATACTTCAATTACATTCAACCCCAGAAACAATATATTTATTAGCATCAACATTTCATTGTTTCACCTTTATCAGGACGTGTTTACTTCTATTCTTACATATCAACATACAGGTCCATAAGGTGTTTATTCACATACTCATTCAGTGATTACGTTATGACTCAGACAGAGGAGTAGTGGGGTGGGAACGCGTGGGCATGGCCTACCTGTACTTTTTTTTTAGCCAGAACATCATGATGCCACTATTTCGAACGAATCCCACCTCACACGGTTAAACGCGTTCCGCCACTTTAAATAGTACTACATCACTCTCTATAGAGCCATAACGCATTGAACCAATGCGTGGCCGAAAATCAACAATACGTTAAATCATTATGGTTTTGCTTGTTCGTAGTCAAACACAATGGGCTATCTGTGATGTGCCCATCACGAATATCGAAAGCCGATTTTAGCGTTTAGATTTACCGCTGTTCCATTGGGGGGGGGATATATTAAGGACCTGATGACTATTTTAGCGTTTAGACTTATCGCTGTTCCATTGGGGGGGGGGATATATTAAGGACCTGATGACTATTTATAAACGTGTTTAGGAACATTGCGTCTGTATATCGTCATTTTAAGTCAATACGGAAAATTATAAGTTTGTACTGAGTAACAATATAGAAATGATCTATTTGAACAAATAACAATACATGTTGAGCTTCAGAAACCTCAATCTGTGATAAACTATTAAATAATATCAGTAAAAATAAACTTACATTAAAAAAGATTGAATAATTAAATCGAACCAGAAATTTTAGTTACTATATTCAATAAATACTAATTATACTTATCAGTATTCGTTGCTAATGGTTTTAACGTTTCGGGTAGTATGGCATACTTCCTGTTTGGAAAAGACTTGATCTTTTTGAGCACTTCTATAGTTATGACGTCACTGCGAGTTGATAGACCATGATTTGCTACTTAATATACTAATATTGATAAGGCGCGGTGTTCTTCACATACTTGTATTGTTTTAATGTGTACAGAGATTCTAGAAAATACATCTCACCACTTTCTAAACAAGTAACCTTGTAACTATGTACATAATAGTATAAATGTTTGTACTAAAAATGTATAAAGTGTAGTATAAGTGTAAAAGGGCAGAAGAGACTAAAGCATGTATTTAATTTTTAGTAGGACGTGAATAATTTTAATGGTAAGTGTTTTATTTTATTTTTCAGAAACGTTCTATAACATTGTTACTTATATAAGGTTATAGTTCATATTACTTGTCCTATATTTATGTGTCATTTTGTGTGTGAGTGTGTCTATTTCTCTTTTTGTGCCAGAAATGATCACACGTCCATTTGGGTATAACAGGGTGTTATTTTGTCAATAGTCTTTATTTGACAAAACAATAGAACCAGATTCAAGAGAGATATTAACCACTGCGTCACCACAAGGCTCAACATTTTCTGCGTATGAGAGGCTTTACTCGCTCATTCAGAAAAAACTGCTATTAATAATGAACTACCTTAGTTAGGTGTAATTAAATTTCTCGTTCAGACTCTGTTATCTTGGAATAATATTGTGGTTTGTGTTTATGATATTAATTTTAGTGCTAGTGGTATTAGTGAAATAATGAAAAGGAATATTTTCATTGATAACAACTTGAAAGGATAAGAGTTAACATTTTCTAGAACGGTATTTAGTTCTTTGTGTTTGTTATTTTCAATCTGAATATCTCGTGTGATGCATGGATTCGAATTTCGGATCAAAGATCCCAAGTTTGAAATATAGCTATTTATAATTTATAGTTCGTGACACGACGTAGGACAATCAGTCAACAGAATCTGCTGCGTATTCGACAACTCTTAATCGATAGGGGATTGACTGTCACGATTATAACACCTCTATGATTTTATTTTACGAGTGCTGCTGTATAATCAATATGATTTAGTTTACAAGTAAACAGAATAACAAGGTTAACAGCAACCAGCAAAATATGAAACTTGTTTAGGTTGTCAGGACTGTAACGCTGTAAACGAAACATCTACTTATCTTTCCTAAAAGTTGGGATTTATAACTGCTTTTCATATCAGAGAAATAAGACTGTCACGCTTTTAACTTGTTTATAAATATCATTTTTAAACTTTAGATAGTTAGGCGTTAAAACAAAATTTTTTCATTCGTTCTGGGTTAAGTATAGAAAAGCTAATTAAGTCTAACTGGAGAATATCTTCTTCCAAGATCTAAAATTATTTTAATACCTCTGTTCTCTTCAAATGTTATGGTGCATATTGTGGCACCCTTGTTTTTTTGTTGGCTGGTTCTTTTAATTAAATAATTAATAATAATAATATTAAAATAATTCAACGTCAAGTCTATGTAATGATAATAAATTACTTTATTTCATTCTTTAACGTTTCTAAAAACTTGAACACTACTGTAAATTGCTATAGGCTTACTTTACAAATCGTGATAGCTAACACAGTGACAAGTTCACTGTACTGTATATCTTAAAATAATCTTATCTTCTGTATCCTTGGCCATCTTTCAACTTACTCTCTAACACAATGGTTCCCAAGCTTTTTTCACTAACGCCATCCTAACTCACTTATCTTGATTTGCGCAACACCCCTGCTGCCACGTGCAATGTTTTTTGTAGAGTTAGTTTATGTTTTTAATTAGGTTATAGCACTTGACTGACAATCTGCGGGTATTGAGTTCGACTCCTATCATCGAACATGTTCGCACTTTTAGCCGTGAGAGCGTTAGAATGTGATGGTTAATCCTACTTTTTTGATGGTAAAGATCAGCCCAAGACTTTGCGGTGAGCAGGTCCACCGAGAGGGCGGGGATACCGGGGAAAAATCCCCGGGACCAGGAAGAGTGAGAATATAAAAATAATAATAAAGTAATTGATTAAATAACAGAGAGACAATATAAGTAATAGATATTATAAATACTGTCATTCGTTGTCGACAGTTAAAATATGCACTGCCACAACTGACTTCAGTCAGTTTGGTTTGTTATGAATTTCGCACAAAGCTACACGAGGGTTATCTGCATTAGCCGTCTCTAAGTTAGCAGTGTAAGACTATAGGGAAGGCAGTTAGTCATCACTATCCACCACCAACTCTTGGACTACTCTTTTTCCAATTAATAGTGAGATTGACCGTCACGTTATAACGCCCCAACGGCTGAAAGGGGGAGCATGTTTGGTGGGACGGGGATTCGAACCGCGACCCGCAGATTGCGACTCGAGCATCCTAACCACCTGGCCATGCCAAGCCGACTTCAGTGAGACAAAGCTATAGTAGTGTATGAGAAAATGCTATGACTACCGTACTGTGCTATTACAATGTTATGCCGTGACGTCGACATTACACTCATTAAACATAACCCTTTATTCTCATGAAGAAGAATAGTGAACTGTTCGAAAGCGCTCGAGTTTTTGGTCTCGTTCGAAAACAAATTTATGTCGTTCATTCACCCCCGTATATCACCTTCCCCAAGCCCGTAAAAACACTTGTCGGTATAAAAAGTTGACCGTAAGGAATTTTGATGTTTTATCCCCGAATTGTGAGAATTTTCAACACATATTTGGTAATAACTTATTATGTGTAACCCAATGAAGGGTTGGTTAAGTTTTCGATTTCAATAATCAGGTGGTTGCTGTACCGCTTTCTTCTGGCTTCAAGTAAAGTACTCCAACCCACGGCATCGTACTTTCTTAGTTATACAAACTTGCTTTTTATCGATATTAACATAGAATGTTAGGTTAAACCAATATATCATAAACCAAATGTGATAGTTGTCCAATATATAGTTTTATGTCATTATAAGAGTCGTGAGAAAGACATAGGATTACGTTTCCCGAGTTTCATGTGACTTTATTTTATCATAAAATGTTCCCTTTAAGATTTGACCAACCTTGTAACCACCATGAGAAATACGAACTAACTCTAAATTATTCTTTTTTCTTTTCTTTCTAGAATGACTGCAGATTGAAAACTACATTTGTTTATCTGAAATAATTTACGGCTTATAACATTCTATACCTTTTTTATATCTTAATTTTATTGTTTTATTGCTCTTTTGAACCGTGTATAACTAAAACCTTCGGAGGCCCGGCATGGCCAGGTGGTTAGGGTACTCGACTCGCAATCTGCGGGTCGCGGGTTCGAATCCCCGTCACACCAAACTTGCTCGCCCTTTCATCCGTGGGGGCGTTATAATGTGACGGTCAAT